CCCGCCGCGCCAACGGCCTGGCCCGCGTTTCTGCGTGGCCGGGAAGGCGCCGCCGCTCGCTCCTCTCTCCAGCCTCTGGGCCTGTGTGCGCACGTTCCGGTGCGGTAGTTCACAGGGATCCCCAAATTGTGACGCTGCCTTTGACAAAAGCAACTTGAACTAAAGTAATTTGGAAACTGATCTTGGAAAATTTATCATAAAACATTAAAAAGAACATATTTTAAAAGAACAACAAAAAACCCCACAACTTTAAATTCAAAACCCTAAACCAACTATTTTTTGAGCAAAAGGATTAAACTAAATGAGCTTTTAAAAAATAGCACATTGAGAAAAACTACAGAATTAACTTTATCTTATTTTTTAATTGTATAATTCAACTTTTATTACAATTGACATTTAATATCATTTTATGTTAGTTTCAGGTGTACACATAGTAGTTAGACACTTATGTAATTTATAAAGTGCTCCCCCTTGTCATGCAAAGTGCTGAGGTCCCGGAAAACCTTAGCATATTGTTCTTAGACTCCCAAAGAAGTAACCCAGAGGACTGACTGTGGAAGACATGGGTTTATCAGGACTCACTTGTGCACCAGTGGTGGCCGACAGGTGAAGCTTACCACCGCACCGGCGCAGGGGCGGGGGTGCTATTGTGTCCCCGCCACCCAGACTTTCCCATCACAGGTTCTATAGAGCAGGGTAAACAGGGCATGCGGGGGTGGGGGGTGTTTTTGCGCAAGCTGTGTGAGATAAAAACTGCTAGCTGTTTCCTTGACTGAGGAGCTGGCCAGGCTCCCAAGGTCTCACAGTCCGCTTACTGATGGCCTTCACTGTGTTCCCCAGAGTGGGGGGGGCAGCTGGAGCCTGGCAAGGGGCCCATGTTCCCCTTTACCATCCACCCCCGACTTGATTTGATTTTTAAATTCTCCTTTTTTTTCAAGGAGTGACTGAGGTGCTATATGTAATCAGATACCAGAATAGAATTATAAAATTAAAACTTTTGAAAATCTCACTGACATTTAGTTGCGAGGTACGGTTTTGTTGATAATTTTAGTTTTAAACTCAGTCCTTGCATTCTTTGTTTCATGAGCTGTAATGTTTTAAGTGCTTGATGAAGATTTTCTTTAGATTTTATATGGAAGTTGGGTTTCTACATGTAGAACTGAATACCGAAGTCTTCTGTGGGCAAAGGGATTTTCCTGATGCCATAGTGGTTGTGTATTTTCATTAGGTAGTGTTTCTTTATGTTACCTTAGTTGACTCACATGGGATGGTTAGGGCAAGTTTGGGGCGGGCCATTTCCTTTCAAGCTAGACCTCTGGAGTCACAGAGACTGTGGGTGGGGACTGTCAGACAACCTCGTGTCGTAGAGGAGTGTGTGCTGGTACAACTCTGGGAGGTTCAGTGAGGGGCAAAAATAAGAGTAAGACATGGCCCCTTGTCTTTGGCAATCTTATGAGGAAGCAGTCAATATATATTTTATTATTTAACATTTAAATCAGACTGACAGATGGAACAAGAGAAGGTTGGTCCATCGGTAGAAAATTCCTCAGAATTGCCAGTCCCGTGGGTACCTCAAACTCGGTGCATCCGAAGTTGGGCTTATCATGTTCTTCCTTCTGGGACCAGTTCCTCCTCTTGGATTCCCAGCCTCACAGACCAGGTGAAACATTCCTGGTTTCGCAAGCCCCAAACCTGAATTATCCTATTTATCTCCTCATCTAATTAATCACAACATCCTGCTAATTTTACTTTCTAAATATTTCTCAAGTCTATGCTCTCCTTTTTGCTGTTCCTGTAGTGATCTGAAGCATTTATTGTTGTGTCAAAGTGATTGCTTTTTGTGTTTGTCTTCCCTTGTAGAATTCAACCTATTCAATGAGAGGCAATTCTCTTACCTTTGTTTCTGAAACATTGGCACCTAGCAGATGCTCAATAAATGTTTACTGACCTGAACTGAGAGAGATACTTATAGGAAATCAAGTTAGAAGACTTCCTGGAATCAGGAAGAGAATAATACTTAGTAAAAACAAATCAAATCAGTTCCACCAAATACTTATTAGGAAAAATGTAAATAGGTTAGAAATCTCTAGATTATATAAATTTATACACATTTTTCCCTGTCCTTGCCTGTCTCTGCCATCTTAGCATCTCATCTTTAACTTACCAGTTTAATGGGGCTATCCTGGCTCTGTGAAGAAATACCTTTTTTGTTTCTGAAACAAGGAAATTTAGGATCCTGATTATCACAAGCATATATTCTTAGTTACTGAGGTGCTATGATTTGACATCAAGCCCTTATTGTCCCGCATTTCAATCCTATCAGAGCCTCCCTACTAGAATGCCTTGCTCTCTAGTCTCTGATGTTCTTTCCAATCCATTGCTAATACTCAAAGATGCTTCCTAGCTGTGCTCCTTCCTAAGTACCTCCCACATCCCTAAAAGGCACCAAGGATGGTTGTGGACACCATGTTGATGGCTATTTTCTTTGTGCCTTTGGCATGGTCATGATTTCTTTAGGAGTCACTGCTGGCAAATGTAATTTGTATGGATTATGGTAGTCCAGGAAGGAAATTTGTGGCAAGAAAGACAAAGTGTGGGGAATTGCCGGGGAGAATTTTTTTTTTTGCAAGCGGATTTTAGGACTTTAAACTAGCTGATTTCTCTAGTACTTTTGGTTTCCCTATGTTTGTTTATGATTGAGAGGGCATGTCAGCTCCATATTAATGAAAAATGGAAATAATTGTTGTTGCAAATGTTTATGGAATGTTTACTGGGCACCAGGCAATGTTCCAAGTATTTCACATACAGTAACTCAATCTGCCCAATAACCTCAAGGTACATTCTTTTATGATCTTCATTTACAGATAAGGAAACCTAGGCACAGAAAATTAGCATCCCAACCAAGATCTCTGCACAAATAGAAGAGAGCTAAGATTTGAATTCAGGCTAATGGTTTCATAGATCATGTTCTTAACCACCATACAGGACTGTTCCTCAATCATTAAGAGGCTCCTAAGAAGCTCTGGAATACCCACAAATATGTTTTAAAAGCTTTGTCCCATTTTTCCTCATTTTGGATATTATTTATAGAGGTGAGCGTTGTTAGGCTACTGGTGCCTAAATATAACATAATGCTGTAATGATGTAGAGTTCCCTCACTCATTCATCAGCATGGGAAGTTTCTCCAGGTAGATATATAGGAATGCAACTTGGAGATCATGATAAAGAAATAGCAAAACCTCTGGGTCTCTCTTTGCCCATCATTAGGTCAATGGAGTGACAGTCCATGGAGCCACACCCCTCTTCAGTGCTTGCTGCAGTGGGAGTGCTGCGTGTGTCAACGTGCTTCTAGAGTTCGGAGCCAAGGCGCAGCTCGAGGTGCACCTGGCATCCCCCATCCATGAGGCAGTAAAGAGAGGTAAATGAGCCATCACATTACACACAAATCATTGGTGGACTCACTCCAGTCTGCGTGAATCAGTGGTTTAGTGATCACCATGCAAGGATCACCAAGTGTTCACCAGTAGACTATGCGTGGCTTAGAAATCCCACAGCAGTAACTTCAGTTTGCCCAAATCTTCAGGAAATACCACTGGGGCATGAAACAGCTCTTCTTATAACCTGGGAATGGCTTTCTGTCTCAGATGTCCCATTTCTTGAGGACAGTCTCTTGACAGGCCTTTCTTGAGGCTCTTTGCTGTTGTTTTGGTGGCAGCTGGTACAATCAAGACTGCAGAAGTGACTTCCATGAGTCATACTGTGGTTATGTCTCTGTCCTTATTAGAAGAGAATAGTTCATCCCCCAAGCCCATAAGACATCAACCACTAACATAAAATAAATTATGAAAGTGTCTGAAAGCCAAGGTGATAGTTTCTCTAATGGAAGATTAAACATAATTTTCCACAATAGGCAATGCACTCTAGATGAGCTAATGACTTTAAGGTCCTTAATTATTGAAAAAAAAGTTGCAAATTTAAAGAGCATGGTGTTGGAAATCCTGAAATTGACTCTAGACTCTTATGTCCTCGTTACTTTTGAAATGAGAGAAAAGAGTAAAATTAAGGAATATAAAAATTATATGCATTCACTAAACTTGAACAAGAAGATGCCATTGAAAGCCCAAGGTCATTTGTCAGAAGTGACACTTAAAGAGCAACATTTCTGTGTTACCCAGTGGGAGAGTTATTCTCTTGTATTACGATCAGAAATACAATGAAGAACTTAGAACACTGTAGTACAGTGACGTTTGCTGCTATAATTGGGGACGAAAGCCTTTCTTTCAAAAGGCAATACTGAAATATTTGCCCCTGTTTATTAAACAGGTCACTTGGTAATTTTTTGGAGTGGATTACTTTATTTTTTTGTTTTTTGTTTTATTTTATATTTTTTATTTTTTCCCATCACCTTTTATCCCCTCTATGCCCTCTTCCACCTCCACCCATCCTCTTCTCCCCCATACTGTTGTTGGAGTGGATTACTTTAAATGATATTAAAGACCCAATGTCCACTGCAGTGTTATTTACAATAGCCCAGGTTTAGAAGCAGCCCAGTGTCCATCAGTAGATGAGTGGATAAAAAAAAGCAGTGGTATATTTACACCATGGAATACTATGCAGCTGTAAAAAAGAAGGAAATCTTACCCTTTGCGACAGTATGGATGGACCTGGAGAGCATTATGCTAAATGAAATAGCCAATAAGAGAAAGATAAGACCATGTGATTTCACTTATATGTGGAATCTATTGATTAATAACTGATGATGGCCATTTCCCAAACTTTAAGTAAGTTCTTTAAGTTGTATGGAAATACTTTGGCATGATTTAAAAGTCTTTAAAATTTTTTTAATATTAATTTGAAGTAAAAATTAATCTATTATTTACATTTCATCCAAACATTGAAAAATAGATTAATACTGGGAATGGTTTGAATTACTTAACTAATTCTGCAGTGCTTAGATGGTTACATATGGAGTGTTTTGTATCTATGTACCCAC